ATAGTATATTGGGGGTTTATATGGTGATCACTGGGGGGTGTCGCGCCTTGAAGTTCCAAAGCTTGGCTAGCAAAGCCGCCAGTGCCTTGCAAGCCTCCCCAAGCCTGAGTTAAGCAAAACTTGCAGCCATGAGGGTTTTCTGGTATAACACAGTATTATCGTATACGGTTACAAAATATTAGTATAGTATAGTATAGTATATGAAGAGTCCAGCAAGGGCACAAGACAACGAAGATCAACGCCAAGGCAATGTCCACGGACACATCGGCGAGCAATCCTTTAATCCCATGCTTGTGCCTGAGCTTTTGCAGCTCGGGAAGCAAACCGACGCTTTCAACCACTGCGGCCAAGCAAGCAACGTAGGCCCGAACTCTCTGGCATGAGGTTTTCAGGATTCTTTCCAAGTGTTGCCCCTCCGTGAATTCCTGAAGCCTTCCAGCAGTTTTTGTTGAATTCTCTTTGCCGAATCTATCTCTTTCAGTCTTTACCGTCCGGCAGATGCGGGCAACATACAGTAGCAGGTGCATCACATGCATGCAGGTCACCTAATGGAGAATTTATCCCACCCTCCCAAACCCGCATGTATGCATAAGTACACACACTATCATAATGTAGTAGTTTCTATGTTCCTTTCTATTGTCTCTATACCCGCATAGAAGCAAGGGGCTCGGGCATTGAAGGCAAGTCCGAACCAGTAACTGGCCTTTGGTTAGGTAGGGATGAAGAAATGGATCCTTGTAGTTTTAGGGTTGGCGTGTTCTTTTCCATTCCTCCATTCCCACATAACCAAAGGCCAGGTAACCAAACAGCCAGGAGGCAAGGGATTGTTGCAATTGTCCCTCAGGCAATCGCCCCAATTGTAAATCAGGTGGGACTTCCTGGAAGCAAATCTCGGTATTTAGAGGTTAGGGTGTCGGGTTCAATGTTTTTTGCCACTTGCATGGCTGAGGCAGCATGGCAAGCTTCGAATCCGGCATAGTCAGGGAACAACTACGGCAGGCCTCCACTGCTATACTCCACAACACGGAAAAACCCACAGACCCACATTTACAAAGATTGAGTGAGCACACAAATATACAATTTTTAATATACATAATCTATAATATATATATATAAGTATATAGTTATATAGTCCTAGCAGCGAGGCCCAACTTGCAAGGAGACCATCATCGCATCCAATCCCAGCGCACTACTGCGGCCAGAGGCATCCCCGTTTTGGCCCCTAGTCATTTCGGGGTTTAAGGTAAGGGGGTTTCTCCAGAACCCTCTAGAAAGAGTATGGAGTTTGGTTAGGGAGTGCAACTTGAAAACTCCATCGCAAGAAGACTGATTTGCGAGGCAGCGGCATGTTCAAGAAGAATGTGAGCACCATCAGCGCAACCACCAGGAAAGCCGACATTATTGCCTGTAGTCCCAGGCGGCCAGGAGCACTGAGAAAGCATAATCCAGCTGGGGTTTAGTAGGGAATAAGGGAATACTATCTCTACGCAAGATGGTATGTCCTCTTATTCCCTACTATAACCCCAATCTACACCGCATAAGAATGTAGTCGTTCCCATTTTCTTTTCCACCATCCCTATATGATCCCGACATATATCCCCAACCTGGAACCCTAAACCATGGAACCCTAAACCCTGGAACCCTAAACCCTGGAACCCTAAACCCTGGAACCCTAAACCCTGGAATCTCCCAATTCCCTACTAACCCCCAGCAAGGAAAGCATAAATGAACAGCCAAGCTGTCACTTCCGACTTGCATCCAAGCGGCGACTGTGACAAAGCCGATGAAAACAGACCAGGCCTTAACTGGCTTTGCCCCTAAAACCCTTTGAAAAATATTAATATATAGGGTCTCCTATTAAAGCCATTAAGGAAAACATTAAATATCCCAGGGGCCTACTCAGTTAATGAGTAGTGTTGTTTTGGTGAACGAACCATGTGAAGTGTTGTTTAGACTCCTAAAAGACTGGTTATATAGGTTACCATTATACGGCTTAAGGGGGATACTGGGAGTCTAGACCATAGCTTATGTCATATATTGTGTTAGGAAGATCTACTCTTACTCTGGTCTATAACGGGGGGATAGTAATCTCTTTAAAAGCGGCCCAGATCATGCTGTTGGCGACAACTTCCCTCCTGCTGCTCCCTTGCAGTTGGGCCGCAACCCGTTTTGGAATGAACCATGCGCAGGATCTGTTTTGCTGGTGGTTCGGTCTCCCGCCAGCACAGACCCTGCGATATCCTCCTCTTTGCTGGTTCCACCCCACCCGAAAAAAATCGTTGAGGCAGGCAACTTACATTCACCGCATTACACTGCCCAGCTACAGGTACTGGCCCGGTCTTTTGATGCAGCAGCATGTAATGAAGCTTGAGCCTTTGCAAACCGTTCTACCAAGCAGTGACTCCAGATTCACTCGGCTGGCTGCTGACGTGTTGCTTGGGGGCACCTCCGTGGAATGTAGTCCGGATTATGTCGTCGCACTGCCATCCTTACAGGACGTGCAGCCCAGCCGTCTGGATCGTTTCCTGCTAATCAGCCAAGATGCTGTTTCGACTCCCAACCTTTTGCAAGGCGCACTGGCACAAACACTGATCCCGGATGAAGATAAAGTCACAAGGGAAAATCGAGTGCATACAAGGCACCGATGAACTTGGCTTTCAGGAGAGCGCGCCTCATGCAAGTGACGACACTCTCTAACTTGTGCGTGCTCTAGACATGCTCATGGATGATCATACCTTTTTTTGCTCCTGTCTGTGTCTGCTGCTTCGCGATTCACGGGGGGGCAAGAGAAACTGAAAACGCCGGCGAATAAGGCTGGAAGCAGCACGAGCAACTAGTTACATGACTGCCATTGTATAGCTGCCCAACATGGGCGGCAGCCTCTGCGGCAAATGGCTGTACTGCATGATCTGCAGGGCAAAAAACGTAGTGAACAGCACGTAAATTGTTTTAAGAATAATAAGAATAATGATGGTGATAACAGCAATAAGAACAATAGTACTTACGGAAATAATCCATCAACGCAAGGCGAGAACAAGTTAGCTGCAGGTTGTGGAGGTTGCATGGTGCCATTCATATTCATCCAAGTTTCTGCAGCTTTTCACCCATCTCCCGCCGCTTTTCCTGAGGAACCTCATCTATGCCTTCCAGCCTTAGAAAAGGTGCAGCAAGTACAAACACTCCCAATCCACTGCCACATGAGCTATAATCTAAACTCCTAGTATCCCCTTCATAACCCCTGAAGTACTCCCCTATATAGTCCCCTATATAACCCCCCCCCCTTCAAGGAGTTTAGACTATTGCTCACATAGGACTTCGCATGCGTAAATGACCGAACATCCAAGAAAGGCGCAGTCGAGCTGGCGAATGGGCATCCTTCAAGGACAGGCGTGTACCTGGCGCTGGCGAGCTCACCCTCTCCATGGGTTGTCTTATTTTTACTATTATGACTATTACTATAAGTACTATTAATACTGTTAATAGTTTACTATTACCATTAGTATTGTTATTATTGGGTACAAGCTTCTGGACATGATTCGCCACCCTGCCCGCAGTTTCTGAGTGTGAAGCTTCACATCATTGCAAAACATGCCAGCTACACCCAGGTCAACCATGCTTTTTGAAACTTTGCGAAGCTGTAAGCTGTTGTCCTTGTGCCACTTCTCACGGACAAAGGTTCAGCCCCTTTTTTGCATCCAGGCCTCTTGCAGACCCTAAACCCCTAAACCCTAAATAGTAGTTTCCATTTTTCAGCATCCCCTAAATTATCAAGGTACTAAAGTAGTTTCCATGTTCTTTTCCATTATCCGCTATATCATCCCAAGGTATTACTATAGCTTCTATTCTATTTTCCATTATCCCAAGTGAACCCCAATATATTCCCTACAATCCCTATATAAATCCTATATAATCCCTATAATCCCTGTAGCTTTCATTTTCTTTTCCATTATCCCAATAGAACCCCAATATAACCGAGTCAGAAGAGACCCTCCAAATGCCAGGAAGCAGCTATGCCACTGCCACTTGCATCTTCCAAGGGGCTGGTTCCTGGGTTGAGGTTAAGGAACTTAATCTAAGTTATCATAATGGGTATATATAGTAAATACTAGGGTTTCCCCAATATAGTAACTTAATTTAAGTTCCTGAACAGCTACCCAGATTCGCGCGCGGTGGGGTTCCGGGCCCGTCCTGGACTGCTCGTCAAGCTGGTCGGCTCCTTCAACGCGCGCTTGCGATCCCACTGGCGAAGAAGTGCTTGCGCCACTTGGACTTGTCGTTGGCCTGTTGCTGTCCATTGTGCTGCTCGACGGCATGTTGCTCTCCGGCATGTTGCTCTGCGGCAAGTTGCCGTGCGGCATGTTGCCGTGCGGCATGTTGCCGTGGGGCATGTTGCTGTGTGGCATGTTGCTGTGGGGCATGTTGCTGTGCGGCATATTGCTCTCCGGCATGTTGCTCATTACCTTGGCAAAAGCTCTGCAAATCCAAATCCGCAAAACCACGCAATGGCAAATTGACAACCTACACCTGCTGAACATAAATAGGGGTTTCCCAAAATTACGGGCACCTTATTGGAGGGGTGATCCCCAAAAAATAAGGATCGTAGTTTTTTTGGGTGTCTATATTGGCGTTCCCCCCTATCTTGGGAGACTACCAAAACCCCGATAAACACTTACAGAATCCTAGCTTCCATTTCATTTTCCATTTTCTTGTCCATTCGATTCTCCCTAAACCCTAAACCTCCATTACAAGTCAGCAAAGCGGCCCGAACCCTAACCCTAAACCCTGAACTTCAGCAAAGCGGCCCGAAAGTTCGAGTAATTTGAATGGTTGCCTCCTCCACCACTCCTTAGGACCGATCGACGAGAGCCAGCAACCTGACAGGAGCCCATCTGCATCCAGACTCCAAATAGTAACAATAAGAGTAGTAGTAGTAGTAGCAGTAGTAGTAGTAGTCGTAGTGGTAGTCGTAGTAGTAGTCGTAGTCGGAGTAGTAGTCGTAGTAGTAGTAGTAGTAGTAGCAGTAGTAGTAGTAGTAAGAAGTAGTAGTAGTAGTAGTAGCAGCAGTAGTAGTAGTAGTCGTAGTGGTAGTCCTAGTAGTAGTCGTAGTAGTAGTCGTAGCCGTAGTAGTAGTAGTAGTAGTAGTAGTAGTAATCGTAATAGGAATAGCAATAGCTGTGATAAAAGGTAATACTAAGCAATACTAGTAAGAAAACATTTGCAGACTTTCGAAGAAGGAGAATAGGTACTACAATAGTTTCCATGTTCTTTTCCATTATCCCCTATAATATCCCAAGGTACTATAGTAGTTTCCATTTTCTTTTCCATTTTCCCCCAAGGTACTACAGTAGTTTCCATTCCATTTTCCGTTATCCCGTAAGTCCAAAAACGTTGAGGCGTTAGGTGCCGTCAGCCCCGTTGAATCCAAGGACCGGAGAAAGACATTCCAATTTGGAACGTCTAAGAACGTTCATAGCGGGATTCATACATCCCTTGCATCATCATCACCATCATTATCATCATTTTTATGATCATCAATATCATCAGAATCATCAGTGTTTTGTGGATGTTGGTTTCTGTCGTGTTGACGAAGGCAGGCCAGCGAATCAGTTGAACACCTCCTCCACTTCATCTACTGCTCAAAGGCTATTACTTCAATGAAGATACGCATAAGCCCTGATATGCTCAATCTGCAACCCAGCAGCTGCGCTCAAGCAGATTGCCCAGCACAGAATCAGAAACTGCAAGATGTACCACCTGCAGTCTCAAAACCGCACGCAGAACTTCCCATATGCCGTGATAGGATGCATGCTGAAGCAGGTAAGTGCTGGACAGCACTCCCTCATATCCACCCATCTGTGGGCGAGCTCCACAAATCCAGAAGAGCATGCACACGGCAGTAAGTCCCCAGAGGCTGCGGGTGAATAAGTTGGTCCATGCAAACACGTAGCCGACCTGACACAACGATGCAAGACACACACACACACACACATATGTATATATAACCTATAGTCCCCATATTACCCATTATAGTAGCTTCCATTTTCTTTTCCATTATCCCAATAGGACCCCAATATATTCCCTACAATCCCTATATGAACCCTGTATAATCCCTATAATCCCTACAGTTTCCATGTTCTTTTCCATTATCCCAATATAACTCCAACCCTACAAAACCAGCACCTCTACTTCAGTCTTTCCGGCCTCACGGCCGTAGTGGTCGAGGAGGCACTCTTCAAGAACTGTCCCACCTGGCACTTGCAGCACTTCGACATGTCAGGTCTGGAGCTAAACCCTAAACCCTAACACCCTAAACCCTAAACCCCCATTTAAGGCAGGCCTGGTGGCTGGATGATCCTCAGACCCCATAATACCTTTCTCCACCATGGCGCATCATTCCCAGCGTACCTTTCAAGTAGTGAAAACTTCTGAGCGCGTTTTCCGAATACACCCTGTGCCCTCAGAGCAGGTTTCAGGTGCAGAAGTTTTGGAACTTCTTGCAACCCCAACGGACTCATCTGCCGGATGTCCGCCTTCTGTTCCCTTGCCATCACTTCTATTCCTGCTTGTTCAAGAGGCGCGCATGTCTTGTTCGCGCAGTCATGGTCGAATGTCATGCCAGGCAACTATAGCTTCAATGCTGAAGCACAAAAAATCTTGTGCCGATGCTGGCACATCCCTCAAGTAGTTGACTAGCATGCATGGACGCTGGACCAGTTCCTATGAGGTAGACTGGATACATGCCTTTTTTGGGGGGGAGAGGGCTCCCGATTCAAGCATACACGGTGGGACTGGCGACTAGTTTTTGTTAGTCCATCTCTCGCCCTGGCATCGTGAGTTCTTTCCACAACTCAAAAGGCATTTACTGTGAGAAAACTAGCCGGACTGCAAAACAACCCCTGGAAACCTTGCATCCGTGAAAATCGAACAATGCCTTCAACTGCGACGCCTCGCATTTGACGACTGACTTAGCCACATCGGCCTGAAAACGCTTACAAAAAAAAGACGATGCTTGTCCAGCACACGATCAGAAACCTTCCAAGCAAGGCCTTGAACCGCAAGTGTTCCACGCAAACCTAAACCGCCATACACGTGCCATGTCGATTCCGGGATAGGGCCCAGGCTCGCACAATGCGATGGCAGAGGCGATATCTTTGTCATGCAGCGGCCAGAGGAAGGGCCCAGAATCAGGCGGATGAAGCTTGGCTGTTGCCATCGTGACCATCCTAGACCAAAACAGCACAATCATGCATGATGTCAGAAACTTTAGTCACTTGAATTTGTCCAAGAGTCGAAGCAAAGAGTTCAAGGGTGATGGCTGGAGGATCATTGGTTGGATTATCTCCTGTCCACCTCCACTGAAGGTGCCATAGCGCATGCAAGAACCAAGGGGATCAACATGTTCCCTATGCAACAACTTCGCACCTCAGGATCCATAGGCAGACCTCTTGCCCACAATATAATGTCTCTGCAAAGGCTTCGATCCTTAGAATGATCGACGCAATAGGCTGCAAACCAGTGAACAGTTTCCCTGATACGAGGTCTTGATAGGTTGTGCCAGGGCTGAATGGATGAAGACTCACAGGACACTCCCGAAGAAACAGCACCAGAAGCATGACAAGCGGTCCGTTTGAATCCCAAGTTGTTCTGTGGCGACACCTCTGATCAGCAAAGCTGTGCTTTTAACGGAGACCCTAAGGTTTGAGGAGGGAGCTTGCGTGAAGGAGGTGTTTGCAAACACCCGTAGTTTGTGTCTGTAGGCTACTCACGCCAGACAGCGCATTGGAAACCACATGCGCCTGGCAGGTTTACTCACAGCACACCAAAAGCTGTTGCTGAGCCGAACATTTGGAGAGGATCTAAGAAGGTCTCTCAGTTTCGGACCTTGAAACACCCTTACGAGGCGGCTCCCTTTGGGTGAATCCAACTTCTTTGGCACGATTATGTCTGAAGGATCCTAGAGAGCTCTCTACACGCAATAGGGCCGGATGCTCCACCTCCCTCAGTTCAACAAGGGCAGCAGAAGTTTGTAAAGGTAAGGGAATTGCGAAGCCTTGAACTCCAAAGCCACGCACTGATGTAAAGGCATACTCAACACTGTAAAGGAATGGTGTCAAGATCAAACCCTGGATCTCCTGTGCTGAGATTCAAGACACCGCGGTCGGACAGCGAATCCAGAGCTGTTAGAGCTTCTTCAGAGGCAGCCGTGGGCAGCAACAAAGCTAGCAGTGGAGGCTGCTGCCACTCCTCTGTGAGACGCTGGCAGATTTTCTCCACCTGGACAGATTGCGATGACATGCACCGCGACGTGCTAATTTCTGGGAATCCACATATCTTGATATTTGCGAGCTCAATGATGGAAAGCCCCCACTTGAATGAGCTATGAGCTGGCTCCATGAAACCGAGAATGCTTGCTTTAACCAATTGCGATGGCCTCATTCCACTTCCACCTGGCTTTCAAAGCGAGGTATGCCACTTTCCGCTGAATGACGCTGACTCTGACCTTCCGAGCCCTGAGTTCCAGCAGGGGTAGAGTGGTGGACTTTCCGACAAGATTTGCGTTTGCGGGCCACGCACAGCCAAAATGAAAGAAACAGCAACTTAGCCTGCGGCCATGCCCAATGCTTGTTGATCTTATGACGAGAACCTTTGGTGCCTGCTTGTCGAGTCACCGGCTGTAGCTTTTTGAGCGCTCTTGGCTCGGGATGAGACATGCCCTAAAGCAGCAGCATGTTTGCTGCGGGACTGGAGCCACATGATGCGGAACAGCCCTCTTGTGTGTTCAGACGTCACTTGCGAACATGCAGAAAAACATTGCAAAGGCACGTCAATGTGGAATCCACCTCCTACATGACCCGCCTTCACCGCGTCGGCAGTGCTCTGCGAGCAAATGAATCTTTTCAATCTTGGCTGTGGACGTGCTCAGTGAGAAGCATAGTTTCGCGAGGCATACGGTGCTGATGTTCAGCGGCTACAGAGCAAAGCCCAAGCCTACCATTGCCAAACTGAAAATGCACTCACTCCCAGAACGATTTCTGGAGACACAAGCTTTCTGGCTTTCGCCTTAGCAAAGGCTCACGCGTCTCCTGGGCCTTGAAAAACTCGGGGGAAGAGCTGGGACAGATGCTGAATGAGAGACCAACTTTGGGCCTGCCCAAACCTGGTGGGACACGGGTTCGCTAGATGGGAGATGGCTGGTCGTCCAAGGGTTTTGAGGCATCTGACGGGCAGCATTTGCGGAGTCATGGCGCCAGACCTGTATGGAGATTGGCCTCATGACCGCTCTGTGAGCACTGATTGCTTTTGCAAGCTCTTGGGACAGCTGCTGTTGGTTTATGACTGTCACCCCATTCACCTGCAAGATTTGATCGCCGACAGCCCAGCCAACATGCACAGCATTGGCATCAGAAATACCTGCTACTGCCAGGCCCTGGAGCACTACACCCAGACCTCCGTCCTGAGCCAACTGGGCGATGGAAAGTTCTACACAACCACCAGCAGGCCAAGACTCTGGGTTCAGGGACGACTCCAGGTGAGAGATCTTCTGTTGAAGTCCACTCAGCCTTTGCTGGGCCCTGTGAACCTGATCTGAAAACTCGCCGGAATTGAATGAAGTGGGTTTGGGAAAGCTTCCACTTTCTGAAACCATGTAACCCAGCTGACCTTGTCCAATCTCCTCAGCACTGGGTCGCCAGTGACGCTTCACACCATCTAAGGGATTCCATTTCTGAAGCTCCAAGCTTTCACGAATGGGCTCGCTCCCTGGCAGGTACGGTGAACCCACCAGGCCCTGACGAGCATCTGTCATGTCCGTCAAGGAGAACGAAAAGCGCCGTTCAAGTCGCTGACCAGGTTCGCTTTCACCAAACCCGATCAGGCCACCCGGAGTGCTGAAAGATGATGGGGCTATGCTGGCTTCGCTTGCCGAGCCGCGCTTGCACCCGCAGTGTCGGCAAAACAGTGAGTCCGTGAGTTCAAAACCCTTGCCGCACCTCCAACAGAGCTCCTGCTGAGTTTGCACCATGTCCGGCATTGCTGGCACAGGCATCTCGTCTTGCCAGGGACCCACTCCTGCCCCAGTGTCGGCATCGGGCTTGTTGAATGTGTGAGATTCTGGTGGATCATCGCTGAAGCTCACCCTTCGAGAAGTCCTGCTTTCAGCTTCAGGTTGCACCATGCTCGACCCACCATCGAAGCCGGTATCAAAGCTCGGGGTGGTATTCTCCACATCTGTCCAGGTGCTACCAAAGCCAGTGTCCTCATCGCTTCCTTTGCTCTTCTTTTTCTTTTTCTTTTTGTGTGGTTTGCCAGACTCTTCTCCCGATGGGGGAAAATCGAAATCCATTGCACCACTGCTGCGTCAGCTCTACCGCGAACGCGAATTGTATGCCCTGGCTAGCGGCAGCCCTGTCCAACTGACATATCCATGATGCACACATGCAAAGCTTCTCGAGACGTTAGCAATGCTTCTAGCTGTTTGATTCAGACCTCTGTGGGTTGTCGGTCAATCCAGGAGGCAGCGCAGCGCACCTTGCTTCTGACTGAGAGCTGTATTGCTGTGCAGGCAGGTAAAGCGGCTGAAGCAGCGAAAAGCATGACTCAAGTGGCAAGGCAGCTTGAGATGTCCTGTGGAAGCACCTTTTTGCTGGCTCCCTTTAGGGTCGGAAAATCAGCGCGCATCATGTTCCGCAGCTGCAGTAATGAAAACTGCGAAAACTTTACGATAGCAGCAGCTTTAGCTGTCACGTCTTGCACCTTGGCTGGTGTCAAAGCAGCGCATTTTGTACCAGCACTATGCGCCTTCAGCACAACTTGTGAGCTTCAAATGGTTTCACCGCTTGCTGGTCAGGTTGCTCTCAGCGGCTTCCTCCTAGAAGCAGGCTGCACACAAGCAGAAAACCGGGGTTTAGGGGTTGTATACATGGGTTATATTGGGATCATGGAAAAGAGAATGGAAACTACTACATTATATACAGGGTTATATAGGGGTAACATGGGCTATAGTCTAAAGGATGGAGCTGTCCTTGATAGCCTTCTCGTATTCTTCTGGAGCTCGCTCAAGACGCAAAGGAATCCAACCTCGGGCCCTACTATTCTTACTATTATGACTCTTAATTAATTTTACTGTTGCGACTACCATTATTACCAGTATTACTACTAGTACTATTACAGTATTAGTAGTATTATACTGCTATTATTATTACTATTACTATGACTGTCACAAATACTATTACTACTACGCATCCGCGAACTTGAGTTTGAATAGAGCCCCGTGTGGGCAATTGTTGAGGTCAAAGCATTCAAACTCTGCTTCCCCCGGCCTGATCAATTGAGAGTGCACAATCCAAATTGAGTACTCCCGTTGACTGGACGCATTTCATGCCTCACCCCGCCCTCGTCGGATCTGCGCCACCTCAGCTGTTGAACATTGTCCCTGTGTGTGCAGACAGAATCCCGAGCTAAGTTCCAAACACTGAAGGCACGAGGCCAGGCACGTTCCTTCCAAGAATAAACTTGAAAGACTTTCCGCTTGCTTCTTCTACTTTAGGAGGACCCCCCACCCTGTAATAGTGGTATAATTGGAATATAAGAGGACCCTAATACAATCCCTATTATCCCCTATAGTCANNACCATTACTGGGTGGGGGGTCCACCCAACTTCTACTGATCTCCAGGCAAGTAGCAAAGGGAGGACATAGACTTCGCCAGTCGCGGGATCCTTGTGAAAGCACCTGAATCAGGCAGAAAGGGCTGGAGCAATGTCCTGGGTTGTTGTTACAGAACTTAAAGTAAGTTACCATAATAGGGATATGCAGGAAATACTAGAGTTCCTCACCATAGTAACTTAACTTGAGTTCCTTAACCCCTATATTCCCCCAGTTTCCATTTCATCTTCCATTTTCTTTTCCATTTGATTCTCCATTATTGGGGATTATATCCCTATAAACCCTACTTTAAGGGGGACTACACCCTAAACCCTAAACCCTAAATAGTAGTTTCCACTTTCTTTTCCATTATCCCTATATATCCCCCTATATATGAACTATATCCCAATATGAACCCCATTATAACCCCGATATACTACCCTAAACCCTAAACCCTAAACCATAGTAGTTTCCATTTTCTTTTCCATTATCCCTATATAACCCCTATATAACCCCTATATAACCCCTCTATATACCCTGTATAAACCCTATATAACCCCCATATAACCCTCATAGGAACCTTATATAACCCCTATGTAAAGCAACCCGCAGGTCCTGGCGGCTCAGCAACCCTCAGGCCCCGGCTTGCCGCAACGGCCGTCGCTGCAGGTGCAGCCACAGTTGTAGCCCACCTCATAGGGTTTAGGGCTTAGGGTTTAGGGGTTTAGGGTTTAGGGGTTTAGGGTTTAGGTGTTTAGGGAGTTGAGGTTTAGGGTTTAGGGTTTTGAATATCGTGTTTTCCCTAACGTGGGGGGGGGAATCTAATGTAGACCCCAAAATGTTATAATCCTAATTATGGGGAGCCCCAAAATGGGAAACTACCATATTGTAGTTGAACCCACTACGTTTATTTGTGAGGAAGCACAACAGCCAATGGCCTGAATACAGCATATTCCAGATTTTGGAGCTCCACCATGCCTTAGGTGGACCCCCACCCGGTAATAGTTAGTGACTATAAGTGATACTGGTGATTATATCTGAGGGTCCTCTGTTCCTACTGAACCACCCTTGGGTCGCCAAGGTCCCACCTTTTCTGCGAGGCGTTTCAGGATCGCTGCCCTGGGAGATGTTGCCGACTTTCCATCCGGGAACACCACCTCCAGGCACGGTGCAGGCCATGTCGATATACGGGGGGCTAGGATAATAGAGGTTATATGGGTGGTATACGTGGGGTCATACAGGTGGTAAACATGGGGTTATATAGGAGCTATATGATTAGGGAGTCTGGAGAGTTTAGCGCTTCCCACCTGTTTGGATTCCTCCTAATATCCATTATTAGGATTACAATCTTAATGTAGGTTCTATATTGGGCCCCGCCTATTGTGGGAAGCTCCCATGCATGGTCGTTTCTGTTTTCTTTTCCATTCCCCCACATCAATCTCCTTTAATGATTCTATTGGTGCAAAATCCCCGTATACCTCTACATAATCTTTGCAATTATTGGGGCAATATGGGCACCTACCCGCCCTAAACCCTAACCCTAAGCCTTAAACCCCTACACAATCCTTGGACTTCTTTCCAACAGGCCTTGATGTATCCTTTTCGCGGGCGGGACAGGGTCAACCTCACCGGTTCGTCCCCAGACTTCTGGACGAGTTCGGTAGCCTTCTCCTTGCAGGGTTTAGGGCTTAGGGGCTTGCACGATCGAACCCTTGCCCCAGAGTTATAGTGTATATCTAAGGGTACTATAAGGATAGTTATATAGGGTTATATACGGATTATAGGGTATCACCCCCCTCCCCCTTGTGTAGTGCAATATATTTTATCGTGGGGGTTTATTGTTATTTGTATTATCTACTGGGGGGGGTGGTTTATGTTCCCTCCACTGTGGCGCAGCCTGCCTTGAAACCGTTTAATGGCTCACCATTGACTGCCTCCAGCTCATCTCCCTCCTTCGCATTGGGCATCCATATTGGGGTTGGTTACATTAGGTTATAATGGGGATAATGGAAAATAAGAAACTGGAAGCTACTATACTACTATAATGGGTTCTATAGGGACTACTACAAATCTGGCTCCTGTAGAACGAAAAAAATCCATCTCAGTCTGGCTGAACATCTGTCCAACATGCACTTCGGCCGAAGGTCGCGTTTGCTCATGGTTACCAATTGTTGACAGTAACATTATGTGTTGGCCACGGCCCGAGGCGGCAGCACTGCCGATATCACCACTAATAACTAGAATCAACTCCCAGCAACATTCCACCCGCCCATCCGCAGCTTCCATGCTGCTTCCATGCTACTCATACCCTACTAAGCGGTTTTCAAGCAAGCTCTTTGCAAGCTACCTGCCCCAAACCCTGGCCCTACGCTGCGCGCTCTAACTTGAGCCGAGCCCCAGATCACTAGAGAGCCATGGCACCCCGCTGATGAATCCCGGCCAAGGTATCCAAACACCTGATCCCAAAATGAAACAGGATGGAGTCAAAAGCGCCAGAAGCCGCTTGATGTTTCGGGCGAACGGGAATTCGCTAATTCCTTGAAGCAACTAACTAAGGGTGCCTACAGGAAGCGACTTCGGAAACAACAGTAAGCTTGCGTGCAAAAAGCCGCGCATGCAATGAGCTTGTCTCCTGGATCCACATAGAGTCCTTGCGGCCCGCAAGCACATCTTGGAGGAGCTTGTGCCTTGCAAGTTGCAAGACAGAATTGATTGCAGCATACGGGTGGGTTAACAAAAAAGACTCTGGAGCAGCGCACGCACTGCCACCCTCCATCACGTCTGCCACACCAACTCCAAATCCTGCGGCAAAGCACATGTGCAAGTCGGGCGCTACAGAAGCTCGTGTATTGAAATCAATGATGCAAGAACTACTCATCATCCTGGCCCTTGGGGCCCATCTTCCAAGGCAATGCCCATCGGCTTCGGAAGCACTACCTCGACCAACTGCCGATTCGACGCGTCATCGTGCCACAGCAGCTTCTGCACATCGCCAGCGCCTCGTACGCAATTTTCAAGCTGCCGATCATCTCAGCATTTGGAGGCAGCTCACGAATAGTTCCCTGCACGGACAAGATTGGGATGCAACGGTGATCATGAATCACAGCCCTACCTTCCCCATTCGGGGTCGTAGAAATCTCTGCATGCGTTCAACTGGATTTCTCTCCTCCCAACACACACTGCCCTTCAGGGCAAGCTTTCTCCGTGGAGAACCATGCAACCAAAGGCATTCAGGCTCCTTAGCAGCCTGCCTGACGACTTCAACATCGCGTGGGCACGCCTACGAAAAACTTGCTGTCCTCTTGTAAGAAAGCATTGGTTTGCCAGTGCCTTCACAATCCTTGGGACGAAGGCAAAGGTGGCATAGCTTAAGGCAAGTGCAGCTGCCACGAGCAGAGCACCTCTCCTGAGAAAAGAACGTCTGCCACCAGGCACATGGAGTAGTACGTGAAACATGCAACAAGAACTCAAAGCCCGAGGAAACCGTCCTGCTTGTTTGCTGGCAGAGGCCCCGTCTTGGCGCCATGTCTGGATGTAGAAGCAGTTGGATCCTTCTGATAGTAAAGCTTGCGCAATCCTGTCTCTACTCTGCATTCATGTGGGCTGACAGTCTATGCTGCATTCGTCTGTGTACCATTTGAGCCCGTTTGGCAAAAATCCACGTCTGGGCCTTGCATTGATCAGACGGTCGTACTTCCTACCGGCATACGCAAACCTTCCAATCCTTGCACGCATGAATTGGGTGTAATATCCCTTATAAAACCCTGTATAACCCCTATGTATACCCTATTATAATATAGTAGCTTCCATTTTATTATCCATCATCATCCATTATCCTTATACAACCCTGATATACCATATAGTCTCTATATAACCCCTGCCATTGCCATGGGAGCTCAGCAGTGCAAGTCACACACGCAAGCACTTTGGAAGCTCATAAGGTCAAACAACTGCTTCATCAAAGAAGTTTCACTTCGCCCCTGAGTGAGCCATGAGCCGCATCATCAAACAGGTCTCAAATTAGAACATGCAATCTCCACAGGGGAAATTCCGAATTATTCGATCAGCAAATCTGTGCAAACCTACGAATGGTCAAGCTAATTTCTGTACACATCTGCTGTGAACCATGCATCCTGAAGAATATAAACAGCGAAAGTGCTCATCCTCCCCGCCCGCCAGGAAACCTCCACTGCTGATAGGTAGGTTCAGTCACTCTTTTATGGCTACTCCTATTATTCTTACTACTATTATTGTTATCATTACAGTTTGATTAATGTACTATAATGTACTAGTAGTATTATTATCCAGGACATGCGTTTGCTGTTCGTTCTTCTTCATCATTGCCCGTGTTGCCATGTGCTACGCCCGCGCGGTTCAGGCTTCTTGGCGTGAAAGGAACCAGGATGCTTGGCTAGCTCAGGGCCAAAATTGTGGGAGTGCTAGTGGAAGGCTGAGGCTCAAGATCCCGGGCTAGGGAGAAGTAACAGTAATAATTAGCAGTGGTAGTGCTACTAGAAGTATTAATAGCAATAATAGTACCACTAATAATCAAATATTTGACCCTTGGTACGACAGTTTGCCAGTAGAGCGTGGCATGCACCACATGGTGTGGGAGGTCATGTAGAACCAAGGCAACTAACTTGCGTCTCGTGCATAGTACCATGACGGAGGCTATGGGATAAGGATGGAAAGGGCGAGGCTTAAAGCATCTTTCTCTGCCAGTGATATGCGTGCAAGCAAGCCTCAAATGTCGGGCTCCAGGGCATGTCGGAAGTGGTGGTTGCAAGCTTCCAAGGCTTCCCGCAAAACCAGGCATTGATGCTCTCCTTAGATCAGCACGCCACCGTCATCACAGCAGCTCTAAAGGCCAAAGGTCTGCACTTGGGCTGTTTTCGATGAACTGGGGGTGTTATAGGGACTAGAGGGAATATATTGGGGTTATATTGGGATAATGGAAAAGAAAATGGAAACGACTATAATATATAATATAGGGGTGTTGCGGCATTCAGAGTCTGGTTCTGTCCAAGCAACTGTGCTGCAGCTTTTGTGTTAAAGCTTCCGCTCGTCTTTGCAGGTCTGCCACGGGTAGCTTTGCAACGTCTTCCTTCAGCCGGACCCATTGTGGACTGGGCGTCTCAAGCTCCTTGCCACTACACTGTATGTCAAGGAGCAACAGGAACAACAAAGGAACACCGATCAGTGCTTGCGAAATCAGCTCAGCTCTCCTTCGACAAATTCAAGGTATCCAGCGGGGAGGACACAGACGAGAAGGAGTCGAATGGTGTGTCATGCGAACGACGTCGGCAAGCAGCACTTCCCTCGCTACATGCGTTCTCACGAGCGGGTGTCGAGGAAGGCGACTGCGTTGATGACAGTTGCAGACTGCTGTGCTCACTTCCCTTAAGGCTTGAAGCCTGATCATGATCTGCATCTTGCCGCCAACATGACGCCACGCGAACCTCGAGCTTGCGCAAGCAGCGTGCTTGCGAACCCCCTGCTGCCTCATCCTGTATCGCAAGGGCGCTTATGCAGGCAGACAAATTTTTACTCCTGGACCACAGTACTGCATCTTCCAGAGGGTCCGCGGCTATGTCATCGCACAAGATTCCACCATCTGACAGCTTCTCTTTGTCTGCCATGGTTTGTGTGCCTGCATCGATTTTTCCCACCTCAGGAAGGATTTGCAACCGATTCTCGGGGAAGGGTGTGCGTAGTATGGTGCGCATAGAAGCATGAACGGGCCAGCAGGCCTCAGGCGGGCAAGAGGGGCTGGAGCCAGCGCCTCAGATACTGCGGCAGTCGATGCCTCTGCTCTGTACGCAACTGTTCAGTCCGCAGTGCTCAACAAGACTCGCAATATAACACTTAGGGATGCTTTGACGTACATCCCCGTACATGCACAATTTCTCGATGAATTCTTGCACATTCTTGTAGAACACGTGAAGCACGGAGCTAAGCCAGGGTTCGGGGCGAATATCGAAGCCTCATGGTTGGGCTGCGTTCCGTTGGCAAGCCCACCGTGTCGACATCCGCATCCAAACGGGCAGGGACGTCTGGCGGTATCTCAGATGAGCAGCAACGCATGTCATGCCCGTTGCTACCTTTGCACAGCTACTATTACTATTATTACTATTAATATTACTATTACTATTATTTCATTATTGCTGATCGTATGCTTGCTATTACTATTATTATTGTTACTATTAGTGTTGCAGCGTTCTGAGTTTTCGGCTGCTGCGCAGCCCCTTAGCTGAGCTGAGCTGACCAAGTTGGTGGGCCCAGTGGGCGATGTTTCAGGCTGCATGTGGGTTGTCAAAATTGTGGTCCCTTTTTGGGTCCCTATTATAATACGGCCCCTAATATTTAGGGTACCCAAAAAAGGACCATGATTTTGACAACCAGCCATGTGGGAAGTGTTCCAGAATGAAGGCTAGAGTCAGTGAGAGTCTGCAGGCATCTTCTGCCAAACGGCGCATGTGCGCCTGCTTCTGCTGAGGCCGCAAAGGCCTGACCTCAAAGAACTTCACAGGATTTTGGTCACATCATACTGGTTACCAAACCTAGGCTGCTGAAATACCCTGCCATCCATTCCTTGGTCTCTGACCACAGCATCTTCAGGGTCATCACTTCCTGGCTCAAACCAATCCACAGCTATGGCTGGAATTGACTTTGATGGATCTCAGCCTGATTGCCCGCGAGAGTTCATGAGCTCCTGAAGCAAGCACTTTTTTTCTGACTGTGACCGCGCGGTCGCCCTTTGCTGGGTTGCTGCTAGGGAACTTAAATCTAGGCTAGTCTAATACTTACAACCAAGCAACCTTATAAAGTATTTAATCAAGTATTTACTAAGTCACTATATACCCATTTTATGTGACGCATTTGAGATCCTTAGCAGCAACCCAGTTTGCATATGCTGCCACGAGGACCTTGTTCTACCCCAGTCCTCGGACTGGCAGCGCTCATCAGATGTGCGTCGGAGCACAAACGATCCAGCAAAAGCAATGCCTTGTTTGTCATCTTTAAGGACAAGATCGCTTATGTGGACCCACACCCCTGGGAGGATCGAAAAATTAGATCCCCTATATAGACACATGATAAACCCTATATAATCCTTATATAATTTCCCATATGGTTCCAGGGATCTAATTTTTAGATCCCTTTGGGGGTCTGGGGAAGCATGTACACTTGAGAAGAAGGCCACGGAAGGCAGAGGCAGCAGTGGAAGGCAAAGAAGGAGTTCTCTTGAATGCAACTGCAGGCCTTGCTTTTTGGCCTGAAGGGGGGAGGAATCGGGGTGCATAGGCGGGGGTGACAGGAGGGCACCCCCCTCCCCTTTAATCAATTCTTTGCGGGGCCCCCTGCCCGCCAAGACCCTATGTGCCAACCACAGCTTGGTACCACGCTCGCTGGTTTCATGCACAAGCAAATTCAAGACATCCAATACCGTTTCTTGTGCTGGATCTTCAGTTGCTGCTGCGCCAGAACAAGGATCGGTTTAGAGCACCGCCAGACTAACAGCGCTCTGAATGTTACAGGTAGCAGGGTGATCAGGACAATGCGTGCCCACCAATCCTCGTCCCCCACCCCCCCTCCTCGATCCACCTCTTACATGTAGCTGTTTCCAGCCGCGCAGCCAAAGCAGACACATGCTGATCAGTGATGAACAGCAAAGGTTTGCATCAATTTCTTGCAGCTGCAGCCAGGTTGCTTGGTGACTGCCTGGGACTCGCACTGCTGTTCAAAGACTGAGGGGAAGGAAGCGCTGCCAACGACCTTGTCCGGGTGCTAGCACAGTAATTGATAGTCCCTTATCTGAGGATATCTGAGGAAACCGCGCGGCTGGCTGTTCTATCTGTTCTGGAGGAGACTTTGGCTCTCCCCTCCAAAGCCCTCCGCTCGGCATGCTGCGTTCGGGCCCCCTCAAGCCAGCAGACTCGGGATCTGCAATAGGCTGCCGCAATGAACAGGCAGAAAGAAGATCCTTGGCAAGACCAACAGCTACAACAGGAAGACGTTCTTTTACGCAAACGTGAACACGACCCGGCCGGAGGCAATAGCTTGCAAACAAATCAGGAGCACTATCCAACCTGTTAGAATACCCCAATCGCCCCAAGATGTACCCCAATGCTGGGAGATATTGCAAAGACTTTACCAAGGTGTGGCCATGTTGCCAGGGCCGCCGCAACTTCTGACCTGTGCTGTCGCTCTTGAGGGCCTTTCGCAGGAATTCGCTGCAGCTCAATCGGCCTACTCGTGGGCCGATCCCGCAAAGAACTTTCTGAGGTTGCCAGCCCTGGGACTTCCATGCGTGGGCGACTTGAGTTGTCATGGCGCGGTTGCAGTGCTACCGCTACCAAGGGATTTGAAAGAGCGGGTGGCGCAGCCGAGCTTGCAGCAGGCACGCTCCTCAGCCGTTGTGGTCCCAGGGAAGCATGGAGACAGGAAAAAGAGTTCCGAGGTGGCGCTGGTAAAGATGCTCGAGCTGTCCAGCGTTCGCAACTGGCTGCACGCACTGGTTGCACGGGTTGTGTCCACCGCCTGCGAGGGTCATGCCACCCAGGCTGTCCAGAGTGGAAATGGTTGACGACATTTGGAGCACAAGGGCCATAAGGAAGCCATGAGTATGGGTGACCAGGCATCGCCATCGCCTGCGTCTGGATCTTGGTACCCGCAAATTTCAATAGCACTTCAGTACTTTCATGGTAACGGGTTTGAAACTTACAAATGTGTGCTTGCACGAGAGGGCTGTAATCATCATTCGCTTCCGCTTGTGAGGCATCTTCGCATGATGTCAGCTTTCAAATTCAGCCGGCGGTCAGGCCATCACACCCGTACTTAGAAAGATGTACCTACGGTGGATACTAAAAATCCTGCATGACCCTAAGTACCCTAAGCCTTGCGAATTATGGTACTAGAGTATACTAAGGTCATGCATGATTCTTTAGCATCAACCCTAGGGAGAGGTTGAATACAAGAATTCAAGCGCCAAAGTCAGCTTGCACTGCTCAGTTGGGTCTGCTAATCTTCATTTCTGCGCCTCGCGAGGTGAAACCGCCTCTCAGCACTGACATCCTGTCCTTGCTGGGTATTGGCCAGCGGACAAGGGATGCCAAACTGCCGCAAAGATCATTTGTCCTGAGCTCAGCTCTGCTCCTAAACTAGTCACTATAACCGCTGTATAACCCCAATATACTATAGTAGTTTCCATTTTATTTTCCATTACCCCAATAGAACCCCAAAATGACCCCAATAATGTATACTCTAGGTCATCTGTCAGATTAGATAATGCAGACGTCGAGGGGCCTTTGCAGCAGGCGAAGGGCGCGTGAGCGTGTAGGTCAGCACACCTCCGGTGCCTTGGCAATGCTATTATTGGGGTCATATTGGGGTTCTATTGGGATAATGGAAATAGTATATTGCGGTTATATAGGGGTTGTAGTGACTAGTTTAGGAGCAGGGTGGAGCTGGCACTGGTCTGTTTCTTTGAATGTACAACCCTGTCGCTTTGTGTGACGGCTGTGCCTGCACGTTCCGCAACAGCGACATTTAAGAGAACACATGCGTTCATAGGTGCTTCATGCTGGGAGTGCAGACAAGGCTCAAATGCAGTAGCCCAGAACTCCCATCGATGTAAGCCTGCGGACATCATAGCAACCAGGGGCAGCCCGTGACACACGCATGACAATGAGAGGTCGCAATCTGACAACGCTAATTCAAGCGAGAGTCTCCGATGGATGTGTCAGTCTGCTTACGACCGTTGTGGCGCATTTGTAGGAAACATTGGCCACCTTCGCTTCCGCATCGTCTTGCTACTGCTCAGCTTATCTCCAATTACCGTGCAAACATCGCAGAAGTGCAAATCTGGGCGTTGCCTGTATAGTGGTTGCAGACACCTCCGCCTGCTACAGGGCAAATCTCCAAGCCCACAGCTTCTTTCTGATTTAGACCAAGCTTTGGATGACCGGGAGGGCCTATGACCTATGTGGCAGGCCATGCCAGCACCTTTCGATCAGCTGACCTCTTCAAGGTCCTAAAGAAGTTCCTTTGAGAGGCAGTAAGATTGTTGCTGGATGCTTGCCTAACTGCTGAAGGCCAGTGGCACGTTCATACTGATACTCCCAACTCTGAGCCCTAGTTCATACTGGCACATGTTCAGGGATCAGACATGTATGCCTTCCTGGCCTGCAAAGCCAGAAGAAGCGTACCAATGCCAAATGCGGCGAAGGCCGATGACGCTATGAGAAGGGCTTCATACCTCCATGGCTTGGGGTCTACAATGTACTTTTATGTTAGGGTTTAGGGTTTAGGGTTTGTTAGTCTCTATCTGTTTATACTATGGGGATATACGGGGGACATAGGGGTACCCAGCAGTAAGGGCAGAGCAAGCTTCCCCTGTACCCTTAAGGCATGCGCCTGCGAACTGCCAGATCCAACAGCGTGCCAGGAAATCCCTCCATGTAGCCAAGGCTTGCTATTAGAGGCATCGATAAAACCTTGGAAGCACAAGGATTGTTATTACTGCTATTATTGTTAATATTGTTAATATTATTATTCCTGTTTTTATTCCTATGTTTATTATTGTTATTGTTATTATTGGTAGTACTATTATTACTGTGATTATTATTGTTATTGTTATTATTAGTGTGCTGAATTCTGCTACTTGGAAGCAGAGGGGACCAAGAGAGGTCTCAGGTGAACCCAGACGACATGCAACTGTAGTATTGGCACAAAGGCTTATATTGGGGTTCTATTGGGATAATGGAAAATAAAATGGAAACTACTACAGTATATTGGGGTTATATAGGGGTTATAGTGACTAGTTTAGGAGAAGAGTACAGCAGCTTTGGTAAGACAAGACCTGCAACGGAGTGCTTTGGGCCCAGACTACTCGATGGAAGTTTATGTCGATGGCAGACATGCCAAGATTGGCAGAGGTCATAAGGTAGCGCTCATAGGTGCACATGCCCGCAACCAAGATGGCATTGGACACTGCATAAAGAGCGCCGTTGTAACGAATAGTGAAGTCCGTGACCTCGGACAATTCAGCTTAGTCGCGAACCCCAAATTCCTGCGCCATTTTTTTCTCTACCTACGGCGGCTACGATTTGAGGCCAAGTCACCGAATAGAGCACCGTACCCAGAAAAGTGATCAGAAGTGCCAAGACCAACATGGCATCCATCGGCTTCTTCAAGGCTACACGCTCGCTCACGGCGGTCAGAAACGGCACCGTATTCCTGATGACCACCTAGGCTACTACAGCCGACATTAAGTCGATTTAAGTCGGGCCCACAAGAGTGGTGCAAGTGCGCAGTGGCTATTCTGCCCAGCCACATACAGTGGGACACCTCAGCAAGGCTCGTCACAGTAAATGCGCCACTAGGCACATGACCGGCGCAGCAGATGATTGCGACCGAAGTAACTAACCTCTTCTAGAGCTCGGAAGCTGCTCATGAGCACCTGCATCGTCTGCTTTCCGCCCGTGCTGGAAGTTGGCAGAATCTAACGAGATACATCCTTGTGACACATGCCCCGACTGCCGCAAGGGATTCCAAGGCACTGCAACCAGCCAGATGGCATCTACGAGGAGCGGTAGCACCTGCACTGCTTTGGGGAGTGCTTTTCTCCAGCGGCTTAGTAATCTTGTCGGGGATTTCTCGCTACGTTGCCTTCTGGACAACACCTAGCTGTTGACGCCACTGCTCCTCTACTCGTGCGGATTTGGATTCAAATACTGGGACAGGTGGACAGCGCCGGTGCATTTGCAGGTTTGCCGGTGGGCACCCTGTGCTTGACCAGGTCTGTTAATTTCTTTCCCCTCCTCCTCCATGTTGCTTAGTTTCCTGGCCGCTTTGGGGCACGGAGAGGACAAGACAAAAGGTGGGAACACAAGTGGCCGTGCCGTATCGTGCTGTGCCAGCCGTCGGTGGCGCTTGTTCCTCGCCAAAAGATATGTCTTAGCGGCCGAGCGCGACAAGAAAGCGCAGAGAGCTGAACGGGGCGAGATGCAGCACAGATAGATCATTGAATGATACGAAGAATTTCTTCGGATGACGCCAGGCCGGGCAATGGGCATCCACTATCCGTCCATGTGCTACTAGTCATGCAAGCCCGACGGACCTGATGCCGCTTCAGCTGACGCAGGAGCACCTGCAAAAGCAAGCATGCTGGCCCGGCAAATGCACAGAAACTGCTTACGGGCCTTGCCATTGAGGTGCAGGATGCATGAGCACACAATTGTGCCAGTGTTCTGCAAGGCCACAACTGTCCAGGCCTCAGAATGTCATGTCAATGTAGACAGTTGTGCCTTGGCCTTCCATAGGCGTGCACAGGTCGGAAAGACTCTGAGGCTTGGGCATAGGGAAATGACATGGAAATTGTCTTGTTGACAAGGATCAAGAAGACAGAGCAGCTGGCGTGCCCCAGAAACCTTAGCGCAGTGTGCAGCAGGGCTGCCGACCAAGAAGAGGGTCTACCACTTCTTACTGGGGTTTAATACTGGATTAATGAGGAGTATATGTGGATTGTACGGAGTTGCTGTTAAGGAGCTAAACCTAAGTTACTAGAATGGGGAAGACATACTAATTAGTATACATACCCGTGATGGTAACTTAATCTAAGTTCTTCAGCGGCAACCCAGTGTATTCCCTTATTCTAAAAAAAATGTATACATAGCCCCTCTTTAAGGAGTTTAGACTATAGCTCATATGGATCGTCTTCCCATATTACCTACTTCCCCCCAGTAAGACTTGGTAGTGCGGAGCATGTGTCATTTGAGCTATAATCTAAACTCCTAGTATCCCTCTTAATATCCCCTATGGTAGGTCCCCTATATAATCCCCTATATCACCCCCTTTAAGGAGTTTAGACTATGTGTCCTTTGAGGCGAGCCGCAGGAGGAGAACCCAGATCTGCCTGCCGTGCGCCTCATTCGAAAAAAAAAAACAGCACTGCTGAGAAATTATAGGATAAATATACGAATGATAATAGTAGTTCGAATAGTAATAGCAATAGTAATAATGATAGTAATAGTAATTAATAATTAGTAATAGTAATAGTACTAGTAATAGTAACATGATAATGATACTTCGAGTGCTTCAAAGAGCTTTTGCTGCCCACACTTTGGCTGCACCTTGCTCACCGGCTCTGCGGCCATTGGCGCAGACTCTCCACCCCACCTGACATGAAGGGAGTCAGCACATGAGCAGTATTCCACGTTTTAACAGAAGACATCAATCGAATCGCCGGCCAGGCTGGTGAGTTCGGGTAGTGCTGCTGGACTGTAATGTCAGGCGAATTATGGCTCTTTCCGGCTTGTCTGATACAAGTGGACTTTGTCATCCAGTCATTGGTTGAAGAGCTCTTTCTTTGATGTTGTTGGCAGAATCAGAGCAGAAGATCTGCTTTTGACACAATACAGCTGCTCTTTGGCCATCTGAGCTTTTAGGATCGGATGGTGTTGGAATGCAAACATATGCAGAACATGTCCCCGTCTACCGGTCCCTGATCGCACGCAAGGACCTGGAGCCTTTCGAGCCGGTACAGGTTGTGCGCAAGCTGGATGGTTGTCAGAATTATGGTCCCTTTTTGGTTCCCTATTATAATACGGCACCTCATATTTAGGGTGCCCAAAGAGAGACCATAATTTTGACAACCACCCATATAACCCAACATAATAGTTTCCATGTTCTTTTCCATTCTCCCCCATATAACCCCAATATAACCCTAATATTACCCTAATGGGTACCATAATTTTGACAACCACCCAGTTGGACATGCCACTGCCTTCCCTCCACTTCACCACCCTCGCACGGGAAAGCCCTGCCATGCTTTTCTGAAGTCTCTGCGGCGTGTCCAGGTTTTGCGCAAGCTCCTTAGGAGCTACGCCTGAACAGATGGTAGGGGTCGCCAAGCCAAGAAGCCTGGAAAAGGTGACGCCCTCTGCCTAGCAAGGTTGGGAATTTCCCAGAAGCTCTGAAACTCTAAGAGTTTGCTATTGCGTCTTGTAGCTCAGGCTCCTTGCCCTCCAGCTGCTTGCCCTCAGCCGCAGGCTTGCGATCTGAATCCTGATTCTTTGCATACCACAGGCCGCCGAACAGGTTGATCATCATTCCCACCACTGTCAGAGGCTGCTGGAAATCCCGGTCTCCAAAGAAAAGAATGCCCTGAACTAAGCACAATGTTGTGGCAATGTTGCCAATGACCATCGTGAGGGTGGCAGAGGAGCTCTTCAAACAACAGATTGTGACAAAGTGTCCAGAGGCGAAAGACAGCGAAGACAAAAGCAATAGGATGAAGACCTGCGAGTTGGCGATCCATATCCTGGGTTGCTGTTAAGGAACTTAATATAAGTTACTATGTCGGGAAAACACTGTTATTTACCATGTATACCCATTACGGTGACTTAAATTTGAATTTCTTAAATCCCTATATTCCACCAGTTTCCACTTCATTGTCCATGTTCTTTTCCATGTTCTTCTCCATTATCCCTACACCGTAAGCCCTATATGAGCTATAGTCTAAACTCCTTAAAGGGGGTTATATAGGGGATTATATAGGGGACTACTATAGGGCTTATTAAGGGGGATACTAGGAGTTTAGACAATGGCACATATTACCCATTATGGTAGCTTAATTCAAGTTCCTTAACAGCAACCCAGCATCTGCCATCCGCTCCACAGAGATGCTGCAGACTCGCCTGCCATGAAAAAAGCTAGGATAATATGGTCGAAATGATATAGCATAATATAATGTAGTATTAATATGATATAGCATAACATAATATTTTATAATATAATATGGTATAGCATAATATGATATAGCATAATATGCCATAGAATAATATGATCTAATAGAGACTCGCCTGCCATCAAAAAAGCTGGGATGCAAAGCAGGAATCCATCCCAGGCCAGCATCCAAGCGACCGGGACGTCATCGCCCAATCTGCCGAGCAAAGCTCTCTGTAGCAATCTGTACACCACATGCGCAAGCGTCCAAATCGAAGAGGTTTCTATGCCAATCCAGTTGAAGTCGGGATCCTGCAGGACAAAAATCGTGGCACCGAAGACGGTGCTGAATAATGCCATCTTAGATGACAAGCTAGCATGGGTCTTTCCCTGTGCATTCACGAAGAAATAGCCTGGCAGGGTAACTTCTGCAATGAGGCCAACCACTGGACCTAAATTGCCAACAATGGTACGCTCTGAGATGGAGCTGTTGTTGGAAAGGAAATGATCTGCCAGCTGATATGCACAAAATGCAATAGCTGCTGGCGTCCATTTCACAAGCCCGAGAAGTCCATTGCGCGTGGCATTCTTCCGCGATGTGCTGCATGCCTGGAAGGCAGAGACCATCAGTCCGGCTGTGCAAAGGCCAAATGCCTGAAGAAATGTCAGAGCCATGGGCTCACGTGTCAAGATGCACAGTGACTGATTGGCTATCACACTCCCGATGCTGGTAGCACCAACGCTGAGCTGAATCAGAAGCTGATACAGGGCATCTTGCCCGGAGCCGGTGGTGAGGCCATACCAGTAGTAGACCCAGCCCATGAGCAGCGGAACAAAGAGGAGGAGATAAATGGACACGATCTCACTCGTGGTGGCTATCTCAACCTTGACTTCGACCGCCTTACCTTTGGCACCCTGATATTCAGCATGCACAAAGGGGGCTGTCTCTTCGCCTGTGGAGTTCAGCTTTGTGTCATTGACATTTGTGCCTGGCCACTGCTTCCGGTTTTTCTCCTTTGTGTCGGACTTCTTCCCTCTCGTGCTCTCAAGCTGTTCAGCTAGATGCTGCTCGATGTCTGTAGGTTCCTCAGACGCATTCTTGGGCGTCGTTGGGGCAGCACGGAAGAGCCCCATTGCTGCATTTGACCTGATGGAAGTTATCTGCATCAAATCTGCCGGCTCCTCGTCACAAGAGTTCAAAGCCGCATCAGCTGCTGCAACTTTTCCGCAGATCATGAGCACTGCACAGAGCAGCGCTGGAATCCGCATGCTGGAAGTTGAACAGCACGCCATTGCGTGCACCGGCACTATGGTGCAGAGGCTCCATCCGTGTGCAAAACGGTTCGGTCCTCTGCTGTTTAACCACAAACAGCAGCAGCAAGCCCATGAAGCTTTCCAGTTTCTGCAACTGGCTGAGGTGGAAGCGCGCTGAGTACCAAACTCACGGGCATCACTGGAGGTGCCTTTTTTGCCGCTGTTGTGGCAAGTGCGGAAAACCTATTCGTGCAGCTAGTCGCAGCTAGTCAACGCTCAACTTTGGACTAGGACTGGATCTTTTCCTTGATAGCCGCCTGCTGTTCAAGAAAAGGCAGCAGGCTCCGCCCCGATTTCGGCAGCGCTGCATCAGACACAACAAGTTCGCAGCAAAAAAACTACTATTTTGTGTGGCCTCCAGCTTGTTGGTGTCGGATATGAAGGCTCTCAGGCCCTCGGGCAGAGAAGCTAAGGAAGAAAAGCTTGACCAGTGCTTCAAGCCAGCCTCAGCCGTCTTCTCAATGGCACAGGCATCTTCGTTGAAGAGCAAGCGGAACTCAGCCTTTGCGACAACAGGGAAGTGTCAAAGGTTGCTGCATCGGGAAGACCCGGGGCAGGAGCCTCAGACATCTGCCCACCGCAAACCTCCTCGTCTGCGCATCCTTGAGCAGACTTTTCAGGTGCCAACATCCTGCAGCAAGAGGCCAAGGGAGAGCTCTAAGAGAAGTCCTGGGGCTTCCCCCGTCCTGCCTAACTTGAAGTCACAAGCGTCTTGCTTTTTTCTCACGTAATTTGCACTGTGTCATTTGCTCCTACACCAATCTCATCCTGCTAGAGAGGTAGCCTGGCTTCGCCAGGCCACACACCAGCAATGGACAGCCACTGATGTACTTCAAACACTCCTTGAGTTATGATTTGGATGTCTCGATTGTCTTGTCCATTAACCCTAGATTTTCCTACAGTATATGACCCCAATAGCTCCATGATGTTCGCCGCTCCGGGCAGTGAGGGGTTGCAGCCGTCTCTGAAATGGCTGTCTAACGACCACATTGCTGCAGCAATGACAGCATGGTCATTCCCAGAGGGAGCTGCATGACTTGTCCGCTAGTTGCCTCTTATATACGATAATTAACATGTTGCAATATGCTATAACATGCTATACTGGGAACTATTGAGAGGTTGGGGGGGATGCATAGCTGGGCTTTTCTTTCTCTTTTCCCAGTTCAACGGCAATGCTTTGTAAGCAGGACTTGGCGGGCTCAACCTCTGAAATCTTTTAAAGCGCGCGATGCACGTCATATCATAGACTAGAACGACATGTGCCGCAGGGCTTAGCTATCAGTAATGTCAGCCCAGCGTGGGCTTGGAGCTCGCTGGCTCTGTGAGCTTGGTGCCTCCAGCTTGCAGGCACTTGGCTGCCTTAGTTTGGACTGGACTCTGTCTTGCAGCTTCAACTCCTTCTCTGAACCGTTTTGCTGCTTATGGGGATGCCGCCAAGTGGCACGGCTACTGGGGTTGCAAGTTGGGCATTGCTTGGAAGCAGGATTTGCTGAGCAACGCCCGCAGGAAGCTGTAACGAAATCTGCTGCAAGGGAAGTTGCTGTGGGATTTGCTGCAAAGCCTGGATCTGCTGAACAGGCTGAAACTGCTGAACTGGGGCTGGGTGCGTAGCTTGAAGCTGCGCATGAACTGGTTGTGTTTGCAGCTGAGGCTGCTGGGGGGAAAGCTGGGCAGGAATCTGTGCAGACACCTGTTGGACGGGGATCTGCTGAGCTTGTAGCTGCTGAGCTTGTAGCTGTTGAGCTTGTAGGTGCTGAGCAGGGAGCTGCTGAGCAGGGAGCTGCTGTGGCCTCGGTGCCGCAGGTGTGATGATTCTCTATAGATCTCATTGCCTGTGGCCACTACTTGCCATGCTCCAGTTGTGATTGAACCATAAGCATACATTTCAAGCTATCATGCTGAAGGGCAGGGCTGAACGACGAAATCTCTGCGGTCATGCGGAACTGCTTACATGTCTGGATTTGCGGGCGCGGCCATGACAACACCTAGCTTCAGGGCTTGCATTGAAAGTCAGACCAGATAATTGGCCAGCCTTTGGGTGACAATAATCTAGCTTTGTTCCTTTTTTTTGGGAGGTGTCCTGGGCATTCTGCAGACCCAAATGCGAAGACGCTCCACGCGAGAGCTCAATTTCGAGCCGAAATTTCAGGACGCTCTACGCGAGAGATCACTTTTGAGCCGAGATTTGAGGACGCTCTACGCTGGAGCTGTCAAAACGCTCCACGCTAGAGCTCAATCTGTTAGGATGCTCCTGCCAGAGCTCAATAAAGGATAATGACAATCAGAATAGAAACCGAAAATCAATAACATTTGTTGTAATTATAGCCAAAGTAATACCGAGAATGATAATGCTGAGAATAGTGAAAAAAAACATGTCCTACAAACGAACAAGAATGGGATGAGAGAGCCCCCAACGTAATAATGGTCAACTGATGAAGCCAAGACTAAGGAGAGGAATAACAATCACAAGGACGATTGCAGTAGCTAGCAAGAGTATGGAGAATCGTTAAAACTAAATTGCAAAATTTGCTATACTGGTTGTTGCGATTCATGTTATTTGTTTGCACAACTATCACTAGTACTGTTATGACTCTTATCTTATTGAGAATACTACAATTCTTCTGGATTTTTCTATGAAAATGTTCATTTTTATGACCTTCCTCATGAGCATGACTTTTCTTATGACAGCTGTCCTATTCTTTTACCATCATCGCCAAGGTAATCAGAATAAAAGAAATGATACTGTGAGGAACACTGATAGTAGTAATCTTAATCAACGCAGTAAGAGGGTTAGCAGTAGCACTTGGAACCACAAGCATAATAGCAGAAATGGAAGCTTCAGTCGTAAACATGGAAATAATACGAGCAACAAGTATTGGCAGCAGATCAAACATAGTAGTAGTAAGTAGTAGTAGTAGTAGTCGTCGTCGTCGTCGTCGTCGTCGTAGTAGTAGTAGTAGTAGCAGCAGCAGCAGCAGGACTAGAAATTCTGAAATTCTTATCCAGAAGAACAGTAGCAACGATCGTTTGAAATAACAGTACTACAAATTAATCGTGGTAGCATTAATGCTAACCAACAGCGGAGCAAATAGTAGAAAATCACACCATGAAAAGGGCTTTAGCAAAAAGAACAGAAATCGCAATAACAATTGCAAGCAACACAAAATCAGCGTACTAGTAACTTCAAATCATGAATCATGGTGAGAAAAAGTAGGCCCTGTCTGATTTTGATAAATTGCTTGGCCAACTATTGCACTTGTTTCAAAAAAATCCAGGGTGTTGGAGGGGGATGCAGTTCCCACCACTTTCAGAATATGGACCAAAGTGACAACATGCAATTAATTGCCAAGCTCGGTGCGACTTGCACAGCTTTGATGTTTCTTGGAAGTACAGAGCCGAAAAACAACGCTACTAACAGCAATGCGCATACTAATTAGGAACCCTAGGAAGCATTTAACTATAGGTTGGGTTACTCCCCCTTACAGTAACTGTTACCACAAGGGGTAATCGGAATTATAATAGCCCCTTAATAAGGCCTTTTTAAGGACAGTTACTGGGTGGGGGAATGACCCAAACAATAAGCATTTAACTTCCTTACAATAAGAACCCCTACCTCAATATAATGCCTGGGTTTAAATGCTTCCTAGTCCCCCTAAACTAAAACTAATACCAACAGTAAACATGGGACGGAAACTTATATCCAGCAATAACAGCAGTAAAGGAAACAGGGATAGAAATACTATACTGGGACCAAAATCAATAGTAGTCGTGATCATGACAATTGTAATAATACTAATTAAAGGACCGGAGAACCCCACATGTGTAGTTTAACCCAAGCTTAAGTTTTATACTGTTAGGATACCGTCGCCCGGCGATATAAGAAGACATGTATAAAAGAATGCAAACTCTTGAGACCACATGCCGCGGCGAA